ATTTCCTAAACTTCATCGATAACCAAAAAACGAAGACAAAAACAACCATCAGGTACCAACTGAACGTAAATAGCAGGTAATAATTGGATACTTATTATTTAATGTGAATAAAACGTATTTCAAGTTTTGTTGAAGCACTACACTATCTAACTCATGTAATCTCAATATAAATTACATCTCTATGTTTTTTAGTTTAATAAATACCTATTGTAAAGATAAATTCATGTGCTTTATTTTCCCGATTTGCCCTAGTTTTCACACGAACACAATTTTAGCAGGCGATTTGAATTCACTTTACGAACTCTGTGATTTCCGTTGAAGTTTCAATAATATTTCGAGTATCTCATATTGCCCTTTAATTGTGATGTTAATTGAAGCCTAAAGCATAAACATCACAATTAAGGAGCATGATGGAATGCTTGAAATGTTATTGAAACTTCAACGGAAATCACAGAGGTCATAAACTGAAATCAAATATCCCGCTAAATTTTGTGGTGATTTAAGCGACAAATAGCATTCTGCAGGCGTATATGGCAGTTTTCAATCTATAACCTCTGTGATCTGTGGTCCAGGCTAAGAAGGATAGATATTTTTCAAACTATTACCTGATAAAAGTTCCTCCAAGAGTTCGAGATCGAGAAAATTTGCCGGCCACTTTCACCTTCGCACAGTTGCTTTGAATAAATATTAGACCGGGGATTTATGTAACGTGTTTCGCACTAAGAAGGTTTCACTTATTTGGACTACCCAAATTAGGTAAAAGTGAAGAATTTTAACATTCTTATATACTTTAGAAGTGGAGATCGCCGTTTTAAAACCACTCACAGATAGGTTTGTAACGTTGACATGTCTGTCAACAAATGTCCGCTGGGATGCATGGTTGCCGTTGTGTTTATTTCATTGCGCCTAAATTGGCAGCGTTTCCTGTTTGAATTATCAAATTTAATACTTCGTTGTATTTTGCATTATCTAAACAAAACTGTGCAATCAAGTATTTTGGAAATTTTTTGCGTTTATTTTTGATATGGGTTTTTAAAATGCTTAAATACGGGAAGAGCATCAGTTTCTGACTGTATTTTATAATGTTGTCTTTTTACTTTGCTACACTAGATAATGATAAAATTGTGTTTTTTTTTAGCTTCCGGTAATCAAAGTAACGAATATTTTAAACTCTTCATAGTAACGAATACTTTTAAAGTACGGACAAATCACCCTCAACATTTTTTCATGAAATAAATTTTACCCAAAAAAAATTAATTTGTCTGGGTGATATGAGAGATTAGTAATCGATTAATTATGAAAAACAATTCGATTCTTCGGATGCGCTTGTTGTATACACGACTACACGGTAGAGGGCGCAAAACTCCCAATCAAATTAAACGTCAAATCAATTTGATGGCAGTCTGACAACATCGCGTGGGAGTGTAGCTGCTTACAGCAAGATCGTAATTGTCGAAAGTAAAGTTTTTGGTCGAAAATTACCTTTCTGCTTGGGGCAGTGATCAAAATTTGTCGTTCGTGATACCTATGGCTTGTCTAAATACATTGAAACAGGAAATTCGGACTTTAGAGGACATTTTCGGTAAACACCATGAACGATTTCAAATTGTCTCCGCCAGTGTCGACGAATTGAGCTGTAGATTTATAGGAAAATCGGGGAAAAAGTACATCATCCATGCGAATATAACGGTAAGTGCACGATCATTTAACCGCTTGAACCCTATGGTTTCTTCATTTGCTGGGAATCTAGCCGAGAAGGGCGCATTTAGAACAAAGGATATTGTGACCCCATCTTGACGTTTAACATATGTATGAGAGTAATGAAGAAACAGCTGAGGAGTGATTTCTGTTGCCGAAAATATAGAAAGTGCGACTGGTATTTACATGGCCTTTTCCAACAGTAACTGTATCAAATTCCGGTATTTTCGATATTGCCTGTCCACATCACACATTAATCAGTTTTCTCCTGCCAAATTCCCAGCTCAATAAGTCTACTCCATTTAGCCATTTTGTAACACTCAAGGATACAGCGATTGATATTTGAAGTTTCTAAAGTACCAGGTGCGTTAATATTCCATACACTATTTTCCTATTAAGGATTAGCACAATCTTTCCGGTAATGGGTACACATTTAGGTCATTGCAATCAATATTATCATGCCTTCTTTGAATCGATTCCCAGCCCAATTCGAACGCTGCCTTGTTTATGTTTACTATTTTCAATGTATTCCGTAATAGTTTTAGAGTTTAATTTTAATTTCTTTCCATCAAGGCGGCAGGTGTCAGGGAAAGGTTCACAAGAAACCTCAAACGCGTAACGTAAACAGAACATAGAGGGGTCCTTTTCCTTGAAAGTGGTGTAAGTCCATTTTGGCAAAAAAATACACTTTACTATGACCATTTTATTTAGTTTAATTTTAACAAAGTTTGATATATAATTAGGGTAAAGCAGAAAGAGTTGAGCTACTTTTTTCACATTATCTTTACGAACTTCAGATTTAAAATTATCCACTGAAATTGATGTAGTAGCATGCTTTCAGTGTGCCTGGAATATTATTTAAATAATATTTGGCACCAAGAGTGAAGGATAGATGGTCAACTATGGTTAATGATTATTTGTGTGTAAAATAGAATTAAAACCCCACTTCTTTTCTTTTAAATTTTCTGATGCTCGGAAACCCGGATTTTCTACCAGACGTTCTACTGCACACAAGAAACTTAACAAACACTGTCAACAACATAAGCTTAACCAACGCACTTGGATCCGACCACCTGGCTATTACGTTTAACATAGACTTACAACATACGCAACCTACCTTCACTACGTCTGCTATAGAGAAAAAGTTAAACCTATCAAAGACTGACATAGACAAAGTGAAACAACACTTACATAACTACATTCAATCGGAAGCACAACTCATCTCAATATAAACCATACAACAACAACTTTCACTAGCCATAGGAAAATTCACCCCTGAAATAAAAATAACCCAAAATCATACTGAAACTCATTAAACATAAGAGAGAACTGCACAGATTATATACATACTCCCAAAATAATGACCTAAAAGAGACACTGAACCAACTCAACAGAAACATTAAAACTTTGATTGGACAATACCGACACGACAAATGGCTAGAAGTATGTGAAGAAATAGATAAAGACAAAGGCAAAACATACTGGCCAAAAATTAAGACACTAGCGCAATAAAAAAACTTACATTACTCACTAGTGGTGTGAGATTTGATTGCTTTTGAATACTCGTACCGACTAGTTACTTTTGGATTCAATACTCGTTTCTTCGGATCAGTTATTCAAGTACTCATTCTAGTCGTTAGTCTTACGAAAGTCGACAACCATGGGCGTCATTTCAGAGTTTAAACTGGGGTGGCAAAACCTACTCAGCTGAAAAAAGGTCCTCCTCCATAAAAATGTTTAATCTTGATTTTAAGCTACGTATTTATAAACGATGCTCAAGCCTGAGTCGAGTCTCAAGTACGAGACTTGGCTTCGATTGCGTTTTATAAACCAATCTCATGCTCAAGCCAGTGCTCACAGCTTTGCTCGCTCAAGTATTGGTCGACGGTGGCTTGAGTATTGCTTCTGCCCAGCCATTGGTTGAGCTTTTTCATTGAACCGTCAAACGGTTTTTAAGGCTATATTATTGTTTATGTTATGGTTTCATATTTTAATTTTTTGATTTTATTATCGTGTACAATATAAGAATGGGCAAAGTTTTTGAGTATTTGGACGTAATAGGGGAGGAAATTAACCAAGACCAACATGTTAGTAAGAGATATATGTATACGAGATGGCAAAAATCCTTTTGAGTTTTTCTCGGATGTGCAATTACGGAAAAGGTTTCGGTTTTCAAAGGCCACTACTACTATATTGAGGTGATTTTACCTTTTTGAAACGAACCATTATTGAAAGCGGATAATCGTGGACTACCACGATACTTCTAATCAAATATCACCCATTACTCAATTGCTGGTATGTTTAAGATTCTATACAAGTAGGTTTCTATTCTATAGATTCTATGCAACAAGTAGCAAAGTTTCTATGATTCCATGTCCTACATTCTTACATAAAGTGTATATTATATTGTACTGTGTGTCCGGTGATCTTCGTTATATAAGTTAGTCTTTCAGCGATTCAAAATATATATTTACATAATAACTTTGACGCGATCTTAGATTCGCCAAGTTTGCCAACAGTCCGAATATAAATTTACCAAATAAATACGAAAGTCGCTGTAAATCTATACTTGACCGATACTTCGCCGATAATTCACGAAGTACCGTTTATAAATCGATCTCTCGGTTGAGCACGATCTCGTTCTTGGCGAAGCATGAGCTGAGTATTGGCTTGAGTATCGTTTATAAATACGGGCCTAAGTTTGTTAGTTTTTTTAGCTTTTTAACAATTTTCCCTTAAACCATAGTTTTTAATCACTTGAGTTATTAACTCAAGATATGGAGTTAATAATTATAATTATACATATTAAGTAAACATTATACAAACAAATCTTATACTCAATTGTCATCCTACATAATACAAGTTATTTTTACACAATTTAAGGTCTTCTTTTTTGACTTGAAGTAAAGGCATCAATAACTGGAAATGTTTATTACAAAACCCGTTTCAATAGCCAAAAGGGCTAACGAGGACAATGGAACTTGCTTCTGGTAATCGTCGCCAGCACGAAAATAATCTCTCACGGGATGTAGAGTTCATTGGAATCGTAACAAACACACGAAAAACTTCGAAAAGAATAGGGAACCCACTTTTCAAAGATTTTTGTACAAAAACATCAGCTCTTTCTTGAATAGTTTTGCTTCTTGAGTCTTCCATTTTGCAGAAACATCTCAGTTCAGACACACCAACGGTCTAAATTGTAATATTTTCACACCTCCTGTACATTGCTATGTCTTCATCCACCTAAAATTTTACTGAAGTGGTTAAGTATATCTCAGTTATTTTCTTCAAGTCGCTTTGAATTTTCTGGTTCAGAATATCAATAACTGGTCAGAGGATTGAAACTTTGTAGTACTGCTCTACCGATTCAAATGGAGCTTTACTCCCTCCCCCAATTTTTGAAAGAAGTTTGCCCTTTCTTGGCAGCTCGGCGGCTTTAAATCCGCACTTGTTAGCGATTTCTGTGCACTGATTGAAGAACTTCGTGAAAAAGTAATCTGTTCGAAACGATTGCAATACTTCAAGTGTTCTGTTTTTTTTTACAGATTTTACAACTTCGTAAGTCACACTGCTTGAACTGAAGGATCTTTGACAGTATTTCACATTGTGCTAGAACTCTCCTGAATAATAGCAGGTCAAATACAAAGTTGAACTCCTCCATATGTTTCAGCAAAGCATTGGCTTGTCCACCACTGTCAGGGTCTATCTCAGAAATCTTTTGTTGAGTCTCCAGAGGGGTATCAAAATTATCTAATAAAGAACTGTTGTGTATTTGCTGGTTTCCATTGAATTTAACTCCCGCACTTGATTCAATCTTTTATTCTCACATTCTAGTACAAACTTTAATGATAATACAATGAATTAAATGTTCGATAAGAACGATTGATTGACAGTGAATGAGCGGGGTGACTTTGGAACTTCTATCGCAGGATGACGTGGCTCTGAAACTTCGGTCGTAGGGTTCTTAGGTGTAAGCTGTTGTGAGGTCTCTGGGACATCTTTGACTTCTGGAACTGGAACCTCTTCTTCTCGCAAGTCTTTTTCCACATCGGTCAGGCGGGTAGAACTGCTCGACTGTCTCCTTTGCGTACGTCCCTAAATAAGGACATCGAAATCTAAGTTTCTCTTTCTTTCCACGATAGTGTCGAAATCCCACTTTCTAGCTCGATTAGTGTAATTTATAGCTTGCACCTTCTGGCCAGCCTAGAAGGTTACCTCCTTTGAGTTGTTACTTAATTGTTTCTCGCTGATGTGCGAAGTGATGTTACGTCTATTCAAATCGAGCATCGTTAGAATATTTCTGTTAAACATTAATTCAGCAGGGCTCACAGAAGTAGTTGAATGAGATCATCGTCGAGCTTCATGTGTAAGTATACGTTGAATATATTCAGAGTCCAGAAGTAGACGCCTCCATTCATTTTATTGAAAATATCGATTTTTGGAATAGGTTAAGAATTATCTTGAATGTATTTGTTGATGGTGATCTTATAAGCGGGACACAATCTGATTCTACCATCCTTCCGCATGATCGGAACTCCTGGTGTGCCCATGCCGAATGGACAACTTTTTCTATGACACCCAGGTTTTCCAACCATCAAGTTCTTCTGCCACTTTAGGTAGCAATGCGTAAAGTACTGTCCGTGGTTCTTTTATTTTAAGGCTATACGTATAATTTGGAATTTCGCCCAGGGTTTCCGTTAGTACGTCACCGTATTCCTGCAGCAATACTTGAGCAATGCACTGAGTGTAAATCCATCTTCTGCATTGTTTTTTTCTTCCCGGTTGAAAAAAAAAACGAACGACAAAACAGAATGCTTTCTCGGTTAGGGAGCTGTATTCCAGCCAAAAAACATTTTATAGCACTCTGGCCAAAATTTCATACCATTCGTTTTAGGAAAATTTAATTCCCTTGGCTGAAAGGAGCCTTCCCTAACAAGCCTTAGTCAAAGCTGAACCATGAGCAGGATCACATTTACTAATTAGATCATTTG